TTATTAGTAGTGTCAGGTATTACATTTTTTTATGTTGTACTTGATGATGATACACTTAAGTGATACACATATTATTATTCATGTCGGTCTTTTTTTATGTTGTACTAATTTTGTGTACTGTTTGTCTTGGCAGGTGTTGAACGATGGTGGGCGCTGGTCGGGAGCGTGGTCTGAGGTCTTCCATTCCAGACGCACCTCTCCGCCGAGCGTTGCTGGACAGTATGGCCACACCGCCGGGCCCTTCTTCGTCGACCGCGGTGCCCAGCAGGGGACGAGGTAGGAAGAGAGGAGGTGGGGCACGTGGTCGTGGGAGAGGAGGTAGGGTGACTGCTACGGCGCCTTCCTCGCCGCCAACCCCAGCTGTTTCACCCGAGCACGTGACTGCTAGGGTGGACTCGTCCGAGGAGGAGGCTACACGGACTCCAGTCCACGAGCCTCCGGTCCACGGGTCTTGGGCCCACGAGCTTCGGGTCGACTGGCCTTCGGCCCACGAGAGTTCGGCCCACGTGACCCCGGAGGAGCACACGTCCGGATGGGGTACCTGGCCGGATCAGCCCGAGGAGCCGAGTGGCCATGCTGATGATGGCGGGGAGCCGACTGATCTTGAGGAGGAGGGGGGCACCGTCTACCAGCGTGGTGCTACACGGCTCCCGTCCGTGCCGGTGACCCGCGAGCAGAGGTGGTTGATTTTCCCTGATGGGGAGAGGTACGTAAGTGCATTTAATATTTTTGTACCTTGTGCATTCACGTTTTTTGAAATAACTAATGCGTTGGCCTTGTCATGCTGCAGGGGTTGGGACCACCATCATAGTGTCCGCCGGCCCAACTCCGTCCTTGGAGTTCTTTGCCGGCAAAACTTCCCGGGGTTTGTCATGTTTCCTGGTGAGGGTCGGCTTCCAGAGCTTGGATTGAGCTGGGAGCACTACGTGGCTGCCCCGGCCCCGCTGGATGAGATTATCGACGGTGTCGTGTGCGACACGAGGGCAGACATGGTGATCAGAAAGTTCTGGGTAATTTCTCCTTTACACATTTAAAAATCTTCAACTAGCTAGTTATTAATTGTACTAATCAATATTGTCTCATTTGATTGCAGACATTCTACAGGTGTGAGGAGGGATACTAGGAGGACGGGGCACATGTTATCAAGAACGTCTGCAAGCGCCTACTCCAGAACTTAAGGCACGAGGCTCGGGTACAGGCTGTTCGAGACTACTACGCCTTGCGTGGTATCAAGAAGACCAAGCCGGCGTGCCACGATAAGTTCCTGAGTAAGGAGCAGTACATGAAGGTAATTCTTAAGGCCATCTCTACTTAAGTTCCTTCATTTAGTAATTCTTAGCCGTAGCGCTCAAGTTTCTATTTGCTAACTTAGGCGCCTCCGAGATGGTGTGCGGATCGGATGGATTGTTGGGAGGTGTTGGTCGATGAGTGGTGCTCAAAACAATGGCTAGCCCTCCACAACGAGGCCAAGGACAAACGTGCCCAAATGGAAGGTGTGCCACACCATCAAGGCAGCTCCAACTTATATCAGTTCGGGCGCAACTGGGTATGTGGTTTGCTTCATGATTCATGTAATTCATTCATCATGCTAGCTTGAGCCCTGTATGCCATGGCCCACACTGCCTCTTTCAAGAAAGTCAAGGCTTTCTCTCAGTCTGACCTCGATGATGCAAAAAACTTCACCAACATCTCCTCCCACAACAAGCTCGTGAGATATAGAGATGAGGGGAAGGCGAGGAAAGGGGAGGACTTTAACCCGAGCCAGGGTCCCATTGATCCAGAGCTGTTGATGATATCTGGTGGTGGGAGGTCCCATGGCTCCATAGCCATTGGAGATGGACTTATCCATTGTCCTAGCACTCTCCCGGAGATCAAGGCGCGCCAGTCGAGCTCCGCTCCTGAGATAAGGCCTCGTGAACGGCCAGTGCAACTCGCCATCAAGGTTAGTGATACGTACTCAGTTATCTTTCTCCATTACATTGTGTGCGCTTCCATCAATGATTACAAATGGTCATGTGAGTGGTGTTGCAGGCTGCTATACAGAGTGAGAGAGATATAACGGAGAAACTTCTGGCGGAGGCGGCGGAGAGGCAGCGGGAGTTGGAGGAGAGGACGACAAAGATGATGGAGGAGGAGAGGTCACGGAATGACATGCAGGCAAGGGCCATGTACGAGTTCCTTGTGGTAAGTTTCTTCTGCAGATTAGCCAAAACATTCATGTAGTGTTTGTCTCATTACTAACTAGTATGACTGAGTCGTCAAAACCAAATGTGCAGTCTGTGTGCGAGAAGACAGGTCAGACCGCTCCGCCGATGCCAGTGATTGCTCCTGGGACCACAGTGAGTTTTATTTGAATGGACATTACTTGCTAGTCTTAACATTTGAGTGTCATCATGCTAACAAGACATTGGAAATGATCTTTGGTGCAGCGTAACTCCAGACAAGCATCGCACGATCCTTCTCCAGCTACCGGCACGAGCCACCCCGCTCCTACACCTCCTAGTTCTTGGTAAGTTTATCTAGTATTTTGCTTAACACATGCATAAAGACATAGACTTAGCTTTATTTCCTCCAATGCTTACCATAATGACCTAGACTTAGCTTCTTCTCCTCCAAAATGACTTAATAAGCTTACTGACCTCCAAAACCATCCATTTTACCTAAGTTAGCTCTAAAACGATCTGTACTTAGCTTACTTATGTCAAAAATTGCATAATTAGCTTAGTTAGCTCATAGACGATCCATTTTACCTAAGTTAGCTCTAAAATGACCAATTTTACCTAGGTTAGCTTACAAATGATCCAGTTCATCCAAGTTAGCTCAAAAATGACCCATTTTACCTAGATTAGCTCCTAAATGATCCATTTTACCTACGTTAGCTTTAAAATGACCCATTTCACCTAGGTTAACTCCAAAATGACCCATCTTACCTAGGTTATCTCATAAACGATCCATTTCAACTAATTTAGCTCATAAACGATCCATTTCACCAAGTTAGCTAAAAAACGATCCATTTCACCTAAATTAGCTCTTAAATGATCCATTTCACCTAAGTTAGCTCAAAAAGATCCATTTCAACTAAATTAGCTCATAAATGATCCATTTCACCTAAGTTAGCTCAAAAATGATCCATTTCAACTAAGTTAGCTCATAAACGATCCATTTCACCTAAGTTAGCTAAAAAACGATCCATTTCACCTTAGTTACCTCAAAAATGATCCATTTGACCTTAGTTAGCTCATAAACGACCCATTTCAACTAAGTTAGCTCATAAATGATCCATTTCACCTTAGCTAGCTCATAAATGACCCATTTCAACTTAGTTAGCACATATATGATCCATTTCACGTAAGTTAGCTCATAAATGACATACTCTTCTTGTTCTAGTTTTCTTCTTGTTCTACTCTTCTTGTTCTAGTCTTCTTCTTGTTCTACTCTTCTTGTTCTAACTTTCTTATTTTTCATTTTGCAGATTTCATTCACTTGACGAAAGCTTGCATAGATGGAGTGCTCCTTATCCCTTTCTCTGTTTCTTTTGTATCGTTGAACTATGCATGTATCGTTGGATATAACTATTGTAATATATATGGTAGGATGCCTCTATGTTGAACTTGTTATGTATGATGGAACTATGCATGTAATATATATGGTTGGATGATGAAGTTATGTGTTGGATATCTTATATGTTTGCTCTGTAATGGCCTTTTGAAATATATCTATATATGTCATATATATTTGTGATGAAAATATTTTGATTTAATAAAAAACAGATAAAAGAGCCAATATGCAGGCTCTTTGACGTCTACCACCGGCGGCAACGGGCTCTTTGCCGTCTGCCGCGGACGGCAAAGAAGACACGTGGCATCTAGCTGTGCTTCCTGGGAGCTGACCCATTTGGTCAGTTTGCCTAAAGTGGCAGACGGCAAAGACTTTGCCATCAGTGGTAGACGGCAAAGAACCTGCACTTTGCCATCAGTGGCAGACGGCAAAGAACCTGCCATGTAGTGACGTGTAGATGACATCAGCGGCAGACGGCAAAGACACTAGAAATTTTGCCGTCAGCGGCGGACGGCAAAGGCCTGCCGTTAGCCACTTAACGGACTGACAGCGCAATTATTGCCGTCCGCTCTCTTTGCCGTCCGCTGCAGACGGCAAAGACTTTGCCATCAGTAGCGGAGTGGCAAAGTAGCTATTTACCGTAGCCTACTTTGCCGGAGCCTTTTGCCGTCCGCGGCTGACGGCAAAGGTCTTTGCCGTCCGCCGTTCATGCCTTTGCCGTCCGCCATGGCGGACGGCAAAGTAGCTGATTCCTGTAGTGATTGTTTGGGGCTATGAGCGAAACCATGGCCGGATCTCCTCATGGATGGAACCCGAATAGGCAATAAACCTAGACTAGAGACTTGTGTGGTTAGTCAGGTCGTGGCTAACTCCCTCTCCAGGCTTCCGCTTGAAGGTTGCCGAGATACACGACGTGTACATGGTGGTAAGTGGCGAGAGCATGTGTGAAGAAGTACACCACTGCAGGGTTATAAATGATCTATTCGAATAGTAGCGTCCACGATAAAGGACCTCTGGGTTGCTTGTACAGTTCATAGACAAGTGAAAGTGGCTACCCTAAAATGCGCAAGATAAGTGTGAGTGCTACGGACGGTGTTCTCACAGGGAGATGGGAGCGGATCCATAGTGGCGTATTGAAATGGTTAATATGTGGACTCGTGTGCGCCACCTCAAAATAGTTACTTGCAGTAGTAGTTCATGTTAGCCACTGAGTCAAAGTTGGCTTGCTGTAGTTAAACCCCACCATCCCTTTGTTGATAATGATGCATATGTAGTTAGTTCTGAAGTAAGTCTTGCTTGGTACATTTGTACTCACATTTGCTGAATTTATGTTTTTGCAGAGATACTTTAGTCTCGCTAGTAGTTCCGTGTGTACTTCGATGTTTAGCTTGATACCTCAGCTACGATCTTGTGCCCTCGGTAGGATCTGGTAGATAGTCAGGCTAATCAGCCTTTTTCATTTGTAGATGTCTGTACTCAGACATGTTAAGCTTCCGCATGTGCTTTGACTTGTATGCTCTGAATGTTGGGTCATGAGACCCATGTTTGTAATATCTCACTCCTCGGAGCGTATTGAATAAATACTTTGAGTCATAGAGTTATGTTGTGATGCCATGTTGTATTTGCACATATCGAGCATATTGTGTGTATGATTTGAAATGCTTGGTATGTGTAGGATCCGACAACCTAGTTGTTTATCCTTGGTAGCCTCTCTTACTGGGAAATGTCTTGTAGTGCTTCCAGTGAGCCATGGTAGCTTGCTACTGCTCCGGAACACTTAGGCTGGCCGACATGTGTCCTTCTTTGTTCTTGTGTATGTCCCTTCGTGGAGATGTCACGGGGTGTCTCCGGAGTCCTGTTAGCCTGCTATAGCTCGGATTTTCCGGAGTCCTATTAGCCCAGCTGCTACAGCCTGGATTCACTCACTGATGACCGACACGTTCCTTGCTCGGTCATGTATGCCTGTCCCTGTAAGTTAGTGCCACTTTGGGTTTACGACTAGTCATGTCTGCTCGGGTTCTTTGTCATATGGATGCTAGCGACACTATCATATGCGTGAGCCAAGAGGCGCAAATGGTCCCGGGACAGGTAAGGTGGCACCCATGAGACTACCGTGCATGAGGCCGCAAAGTGATATGATGTGTTACATGCTAGATCGGTGTGACTTAGGATCGGGGTCGTGACAATTCACTTGTCCAATCAAATTAAGAACGCATGAATGATCCAATCTCACTACTGCAATCAAACCCGCCCTCTATGTTCACAGAAAACTAACAAATCCATAGAAGCCCTGGAAACCACTCCCACGGACGAAGAAAACAGAACCCGAAATCAAATCCGTTGAAATTAACGATAAATTGTCCACGAAACTCGTACCTACACCAAATTCCCATCATGTTAGAGGTTCTAGAACATCCAGTGATTGCATTAAACTTGTAAACAGACACAAGTTCATCCACCCAGAGAGTCAATCTGCCAAAATGCAAAATTATGAATCAAAACGAGCATTTAGATACAGGTATGGGTATCTGGATTACAGTCACATCCCAAACAATACTACCGACTGGAATAATTCGCGGGGGAAGCCACGGTTGCGAAGATAGCCCGAAGGTCGGGTTCGTACAGAGGGAAGTTCAGGCGCGTTACTCGGAAAGTTCAGGTTGTGATTAGAATATTATCATGATCCCTTGATCAGAATAGTGTTTATGTGTGTACACACACACACACACACATATATATATATATATATAGGGCAACACTATTCTAATCCTGGGATTAGAATAACTATTTGGATCATGGCGTCTATATAAGCCCCGATGTGACATTTCTGGATGCGTGAAAACAAAAATCAGACCAACCTCACCAGCCCACTATCACATCCCGACCTTATCCCCACGCCCTCCTCGAACCTCCCCTGTCAGCGCCACTCCGCCTCCCTCCCCAGGCCGTCGCCGCCACCTCAGTCCTCCGGCAGCAAGCACCGCCGCCCCCACCTCTCTTCACCGGTGGAACCTCCTTCGCCCCCCACCTTCCTGCCAGGCAGAAGCTCCGCCGCCCCCAACTTCCTCCCCTGGCAGCAAGCGGCGTCGGCCCCGACCTCCCTCCCCAGCAGATGTGCTGTCGTCCCCACCTCCCACCCCGTTGACCGCGCCGCCGTCCCCACCTCCCACCCCAGCGACCGCGCTGCCGTCCCACCTCCCATCCCGGCGACCGCGCCACCGTCCCTACTTCCCACCCCGGCGAACGCGCCGCTGTGCCCACCTCCCTCCTCCAACAGCACACGCCGCCGCCCAACCATCCTCCCCAGCAGAACAAGTTGTCACCACTGCGTTCCTCCTCCAGCAGCATGCGCAACGTGAGATGCACCCCGATCCAGCACGAGTCACCGCCTCCCCACTATTGCCTGGGACCAGGGACCAGGCGGCCAGTTTCTACCTCGAGCACCAGCCGGCCGTTCAACTACACTGTCTAGTGTCATTCAGAAAACTCACCTGCTGCTATCCTACTCCTCTTCCTCCTCGATGCAGCAACGAGAATGGCAGCGTCCAACCATCTCCTCCAGATGGACTGCGACCAGGCGGCCACAGCCCCATGAGCCAGCAATCTGAATGATTCAACAAAGGACAGCTACATAGTGGGCCAAAGTACATTTGGTGTCCCCCTGAAGCATACAGGGCACCTGTATTTAGTTTCTTCGTCGAATCGCTGTTGCATCATATCGCTATGCCTCTGAACATTGGTGATTTTGTGTCGGTAGAATTCAGAGTGAACACAAGTTAGCATAAGGTTCCATTCCATGCTTGCAGCTTCTGAGTACTGAATTAAGTTTCTGAATAATGTTTTCACTTTTGATCGGGGGTCCAAGATGATTGCTTTAGACGGAAATTCAGATGAAGCAAATCACCTTCCTAGTCGTAAGTTTAGTTTTCGATGGCTACCGCTAGTCGCAGGTTCTTTTAGGCAACAACTAAAACAAAGTTCTTTAGGGTAGTAGTAGTGATGCATCAGGCTATGAATGGTTAGCACAGACAGAGCGATACCTCAAAACGAAAATGTTGTTGTTGCTTTCTGACTGGTTCCAAGGTGACTGTTTGTGTTCCCTGCAAAAAAATGTGACTCTTTGTGGCTGAAATTCTGAATGAACACCAGTAAGCAGTAGATTCCATCCTTTCTATGATGGTTGTTTCTAAATACTGAATTTCAGACATAACATTTGTAGTGATTCGGTGGTCTTGTTATTTACTTTATACTAGCTCTGAGACCAATATATCTCAGCCTGCATTTTCATGAATTTATTGTGTTCCATGAAACATAGGGAGTGTTGAAGTCTTTCCTATCACTCTCCCCTCTGAACGTTGTTGTTGTAAAATTCTACTGGAGTGTACATTGGTTTTGCTATCATACTCACCCTTTGAACCCTATCCTCATTAGTTGGTTTCACTGAACAAAACTTAATCTTAGCTTCTCGATCTGCTATTGTGGCTTTTCATGTTTATGAGAAAGTAAAAGATAACCCCGTCAAGAAAAAAGGAAAACAGTATAGTGAAAATACTACAAGGTTTGGTCAGAAACACCAACACAAGTTCAAAAGCGAAAAAAAATCAGAAGTTCAGATAGAACAAGAACACAAGTTCATGTAGAGTGCAAGTTCTTTTTGAAGTGCACACTCTGATTCCATTCTTCCCATCCACCAAATTTTCTCATAAATTTGTGTTCTGTATATAATCCAATAAATTTTATTATGAGCAAAAAACAAGAAAAAAACAATAAAACTAGGAAGTCTATATTAAAAAGATGAAGAAGTTCGATGATTATAGAAAACTCAGATTTTTGTCATTATTAAAGAATGGAAACAAGAAGTTCAAAAATAAAATAACAAGAAGTTCAACTTTTTAAAATTGATCGCTTCAGAATTCATGAAAAAGGATTAAGAAATTCTGATTAATATTCATAAAAAACTCAGATATTTTCATGGAAACGATAGAAATTCAGGTTGGTAACTGCCAGAAGTTCACGTACTACACAGTGTGCATTTAGTATGAATTTTTTTTAATGAAAAAGCAAAGGCTAAAAGTTTTGTTGGTAGAAGTTCAAGTGCTCGGCCCGATAAAGTTCAACAATTCTTGTGAGAGAGGTTGAACAAAAATACGTGATAGAATATCAAGGTGAAAACAATGGAAATTCAACTAGTACACGAAAAGCATTCCAGATAACAATATAAGAATAGAAAACTAAAATCTTAAAAGGTTTGTTTCAAGAAGTTCACGTTCTCTGTCCGGGGAAGTTCAAAAATTCTTGTAAGATATGTTCACCTTGTATTTCCCTGTACGAAAACAAAAAAAAATGTTTTTTGCAATTTAAAATAATTCTCTCAATCCACAAAGAAGTTTACTTATTATTTGGGAGCAATTTGATTTCAAAGAGAAAATAAAAAATTCAAATTATAAAGATTAAGAAAATAAAGCCAGGAAGTCCATATTAAAAAGATGGAGAAGTTCGATGATTATAGAAAACTCAAAATTTCCTCGTTATTAAAGAGTGGAAACAAGAAGTTCAAACAAAATAACAAGAAGGTCAACTTTTAAAAATAGAGCGCTTCAAAATGCATAAAAAAGGATTAAGAAAATCAGATTAAAAATTCATAAAAAAACTCAGATATTTTCACGTAACCGAGAGAAGTTCAGATTGATAACTACGAGAAGTTCACATACTACACGGTGTGTATTTTGTATTAAAAAAGAATAAAAAGCAAAGTCTAAATGTTTTGTTGTTATAAGTTCAAGTCCTCCATCGGATAAAGTTGAAAAAAAATTGTGATAGAGATTTGTACAAAAGGAATATCATTTGTGTAACATGGACCAAATGAATGGGAAAATTACGAAAGAACATATGTCACAGAAGTTCAACGTGAAAACAACAGGAAGTTCGACTACTATAGTGAATGAATTTCAGATGAAAAACTTTTAAAATCGTCGCGAGTATGAAACAATGATCAACACGGGAAAGTTGTGTGTTTACAGCAGCTTTCCACTCGTATATCACTTGCTCAATTCCGGTGAGTGGATGGAGAGCTACGAGCAGTGGATGGAGAGCTAAGAGCAAAAAAATCACATGAAAAACAGAGTGAAGTTCAGGTACACATGCCGAGAAGTTCAGGTTCTTCACGCGGTGCATTTTCGAAGAATCTGTTTTGCAATAAAGGCAGAACGAATGATCTCGCTATTTTCGAAATTACTTGAAAACGGCCAGGATTCAGAGAAAACCATCAACATGAAAAAGTTTCGCATTTTCCGTAGCTTTTCAGCGGTATATTATTTGCCCCATTCTGATAAAGTTTGTATAAATTACGGCGAAAATACATTTTTCGCCATTTTCGAAACTGACTTAAAACCGTAAAGAATTGGGAGAAACAATACATACCAAAAAGTTTTGATTTTTTCAAGCTTTGCAATGCCATATTATTTGTTGCATTCGGACGCACGGTTAAAAAATTAGCTCGAAAATACGAACTCAGAAGGACTTGGACCATTTTCTAAATTACTCTTAAACTATTCAAAATTAGAAAAAACTTACAAGATGAAAAAGTAGCGCATTTTCATAAGCTTTCCAACGCCGTATCATATGCCTCCATTGAATTAGCCGTTTAGAAATGACATCAAAAAAACAAACTCAGCTGTTCGGTTTACGAAATTTTACGTTTTTTCAAATTACTCTTTAACCATAGGGAATTAGAGAAAACTTTAAACATGTGGAAGGAGCGGTTTTGCAGCAGCTTTCCAACACCATATTATATGCCTCATTTCGATAAACAGTTTAGAAATGTGACTGAAAATGCGATTCACGTTTTTTGTGCGAAGAAAAAACGGTTTTCAAAACTGCTCTTAAGCCACTTATATTTTGCCAAAAATTTAAGTTGGGTCATGATATTGGTGTCCATAGCTTTCCAACGATATATCGCAAGCCCCATTTGGGCAATGTTGGCGGAAGTTCAACCTAGTTCACAGGGAAGTTCAACGTACTACTAGCGGGGCAGGTCAGGTTGTGGTCAGAATATTATTCTGATCCCATGATCAGAATAGTGTTTATGTGTGTATATATATATATATCCAAGGGTGTTTTCGGGTTTGCGAGGCAGGTGCCACAAAGTTATGCATTGTGTATTTATAGTTGTAAACATCCCCAATATTCCTACATATATTTGGCCACTTCCAGGTGGTTCTAGACATCTGCCCCTCTCATCGATCTTCGATGACGCGCCCAACCGTGGGCCCCACAGTCAAAGTTGTTCATTGGAATTTTGAACATCACAGACCACCCTTTTCACTCATATATAATTCGGCCACATGCTGGTGTGGCTGTCTTCTGACCCTCTCTAACGTTATTTTTTGTTGCAAAGACTCTGATGACGCTCAATGGACACGGGTATAATATCTTAACCATGTGCGATACAAGTGCGCTGTGAATCACCACGCCTGCGCAAGAACGAGCAAAGGTGGAGGTACTGGCTCAACCATGTGCGATGGGTGCGCTGTAAAATCACCACGACCGCGCAAGCGTGAGTAAAGGGTGGAGGTATTGGCTTAACCGTGTGCGATGCAAGTGCGCTGTAAAACCACCACATGTGCAAGCTAAAGGCGGGTAAGTTTATTTGGAAATTAGGACGAACGGTGTGCGATAGACCAGCTAGTTAGAAATATAAAAACAAACTACTCACCTTGAGCGTTGCAAAAATCGGCGGTTCCACACCACTTTTCCTTATTATCATACATGCATATTGTTATAGGACCATGCGCGAACTTGGCACTCCTGCCCTGCGTCAATTTCTTTACCCAAATTTTAGTAGCTGCCGTACTTCAACCGTCGCCCATACTCCTCCAGCACCGACCTTATAGTAAAATTGCAGTAGCCGAGGCATTTGAACCGTCGCCCTCCCTCGCCCACTACCATCTCCACCCACCATTACTAAAATTTTCAGTAGCCGTGGCGCATCCTCAAACACCACACCGCTCCACAGTCCCCCACCCCCTCCCCCAAAACCCTAGCTCATGGCCGCTGCGGGCGCTGCCGCCAACCCCTGCTGGTCTACCCGTTCCTCCTAGCTTAAATAATAAAGTTTAGGTTACCCGGCGATTCCCATACCGTCTCCCCACTCCCTTGATTTTTTTAGATGGGGCCTGCGGTGTCCCTCCCCGCCAGATCCACATCCCTACTCCAGAATGTTGCAGCTTAAGCTCGACCATATATCCCGGGGAGCCCGACGAGCGTTCGCCCAAGAAGAGGTTTATCATGGCCTCTCCG